TATATATATATTTAATAAAATAATACATGCATTTATTTTAAATAAATTTGTTTGTTTGAAATAAAGATAAACACTAAATATATTTATACTTCCTTAACACTGAATTTATTTATATTCAATAAAATAATGGATATATTTATTTTCAAATGTTACCAGAACGATTTATTAAATTAAAATAATTAAATTAATTAAATTAATTAAATTAATTAAAATAATTAAAATAATTAATTTTTAAATTAAAATCAAGGCACAAACCTCTCTCCAACCGCTTTTGAAAACGGAAATTATGGGAGATATTTTCGGGAACGGGGAGAAGAACCACAAAAGACACCAGGGGTGACATCGCTGGTCAATTTTTATTGCTGCACAGGGAATTCACAGGACTGAGATGGAGAGGAGAAGGGAAAGGGAAAATCATCGACATTGGGAAATCATCTTCCAGCAGCGCCCGGTGACGGCATTTCCTGAGATTCCCAATGGGAAAATATCGGGAACGGCCAGGGGGAAAGCGCTGGGCAGAGCAGGAGAGGAAGGGAAAATGCAGGGAGAGAAAACACGGGGAAAGCTCAGAGGGAAAACATTTTCCACGAGGAAGGGCAGGGACGGTCCGAGCGGGAGAGCGTCACCGGTGAGTCGGTGACACCAGAGCCGGGCCCGGAGCGRGCTCAGCAGGGCCGCGAGCAGGCGGGCTCCAGGCACACCGTCTCGCACTTCTCCACGCATTTGGTGGTGCAAACCTCAGCCTGGCACTGCTCCACGCACTTGGTGGCACACGGGGTGGCACAAACATCCACGCACTGCGGGGCACAGCTGGTGGCACATTGGGTGGCACACGGGGTGGCACAGACGTCAACACATTGAGGGGCGCAAACGTCAACGCACTGCGGGGCACAGCTGGTGGCACATTGGGTGGCACAGACGTCCACACATTGAGGGGCACAGCTGGTGGCACACTGGGTGGCACATGGGGTGGCACAGACGTCAACGCACTGGGGAGCACAGCTGGTGGCACATTGGGTGGAGCAAACGTCAACGCACTGCGGGGCGCAAACGGTGGCACATTGGGTGGCACATGGGGTGTCGCAAACGTCAACGCACTGCGGGGCACAGACTTCAACGCACTGGGTGGCACAGGGCTCCACGCACTGGGTGACACAGCTGGTGGCACACTGGGTGGCACAGGGCGCCTGGCACACCTCCACGCACTGGCCGGCGCAGGGCTCCACGGTCTTGGCGCATTTCTGCAGGCACGCGGCCGGCAGCAGGCAGGGCTGCTTGCGCTGCTCGTAGTAGTAGGACATC